CCCCCGACACACACACAATCCCCGGCACACACACGACCCCCCGACACACACACAATCTCCGACACACACACGACCTCCGACACACACACGATCCCCGACACACACACACAATCCCCAACACACACACGACCCTCAGACACACACATGATCCCCGACACACACACGACCCCCGGCACACACACAATCCCCCGACACACACACGACCCCCGACACACACGACCCCCGGCACACACACGATCCCCGGACACACACATAATCCCCCGACACACACACGACCCCCGGCACACACACAATCCCCCGACACACACACGACCCCCGGCACACACACAATCCCCGACACACACACGACCCCCGGCACACACATAATCCCCAGACACACACACGATCCCCGACACACACAGGATCCCTGACACACACACGACCCCCAGACACACACATGACCCCCGACACACACACAACCCCCAACTCACACACATGCACACTCTCTATCCTTCAACAAGCCCAGCCTCACAGGTGTCTCCCTCCTGCCTTCTACCACTAGGAGGAAATGAAGGGGGCTGGATGGGGTGGGGGCACCTGGGCTGGCTGGGCCTCCCGCCCTGCCCCCACGAGATCCTTTCTCGCCCATCACCTTGAGGAGGCCCCAGCCTCCCAGTGGGGCTGCTGGGACCCTGCTCTTCCCCCTGCCCTCTCCTTCCTCCTGGTGGCTGGGCCTGGGTCTGTGCTGGGTCTGCAACCACAGGGAAGGAGCTGTTTATGTTGTGAGTGAGTGTTGTGCTGTTTGCAGCTGAGGTGGCTGTAGATTTACTCGCCGTTTGAGGAAATTACACAGCTCTTGCCTCGTACTGTTACTCGGCTTCTCCCAGTGATAACAGTTTGCAACACTACGGGACAACATCACAACCAGACTGAGGACTTTGGTAAGTCCGCTGACCTCACGGCTCTGCAGTGCCGCTTGTATGGCTGACGTGTGTGTCAGTGAAGAACCTGTACCGTTTCTTCATCTCGACAGAGGTCTGCACACGGATGGCAGGGCTGTGTCCTCTCGGGACCGACCGTTCCATGCAGCGTGGCGTCCTGGGGATTTGCTGTGTGTTTCAGTCCTGCTCCTGGTCACTGCTGAGCCGTGCGGCCTGCGGTGTGGACACGCACGATTGACTCAGTGGCTCTTCTCTTCAAGTCATCTGGGTGGATGCAGTTCTTGGGGACTGTAAGTAAAGGCCACGGGAGTTCTCTGTAGCGCAGGGCACCCGGAGGCCACGTGGGGCAGGCTGGAGCTCTAGGACTGTTGCCTGGGACGGCTCTCGCCCTCAGGACGCTGCGGAGGCTTTCCCCTGACCAGGGCGTCCCAGCCTCTGGTCTGAGAAGAGGAGCTCTCGTTTCCAAGGCGTTGGCCTGGAGGTTAGGACACGACCTCGGCACCTGGCAGCTGCCAAGCGAGGGCGGCGTGTGCAGGAACATGAGCCAGCACAGATGGAAAGTTGGGGACAGGGGATTCCCCACGCTCTCGAGGCAGGGGGACGTTTCCGTCCACACGCGGACAGGTCCCAGGGAAGCACAGGAAGCAGAAGGATCATCTTGAAACCGCTTCTGCAGCGCAGGCGGAGGCACCAGAAACCCGACGCGAGCCGGAGCGGCAGCCACGTCCTGACCGGGCGGAAAGACGCCGCGGCCGCCCTGGGCGAGGGCTTGGTAGCCAGGAGGCAGCAGCCTGATTCTCACTGCTTCTGAGGCTGAACAGGAAATGGTTAATTGTGTTTGCAAATAAAAACTTTCTGTTCTATCCTGTTTTTGAAACATTTCCCAGAAGTTAAGAAAGAACGCCTATTATCTGCCCAGTTTAACAACCAAATTTTTAAAAACCGAATGAAATAATTTCACAATTTATCATACACAGGAATAAAGATAGACGGGTTGTTTGTTAAGGTGGGGGTGTCACGTGTGATTTCTACTCTCCCCGTTAGTTTGTAAACTTTCTAGAATGTGGTTAGTAGTTTAACTGTGTGTATTTTAAATCTCCCGATGTGTGCGTGCGTGTCTGTGTGTGTAGGTGTGTACTGGTGTATGTGTTCAGGTGTGTTGTGTGTGATGTGTGTAATGTGTCTTTGTGTGGTATGTGTGCATAGTGTGTACAGTGTATGTTGCGTGTAGCTGTGTATTTGTGGTCATGTGTACAGTGTGTGGTGTATAGTTTGTGTAGTGTGTAGCGTGTGTTTGTGTGCTTTTATGTTGTATGTAGCTGTGTAGCTATGGTCGTGTGTACAGTGTGTGTTGTGTATAGTGTGTGCTGTGTGTAGTGTTTGTGTGCTTGTATGTTGTGTGTATCTGCAGTCGTGTGTACAGTGTGTGTGGTGTGTGTGGCACTTTCCTGCCCTCTCACCCCACCACCGTGGGTGTCACTCAGGCTCCCGCTGGTGACCCAGGTGGCTGAGGCATAGCCCCGCCTGAGCTCTGACATGTAGCTGTACCCTGAAAATGCAGGATGCCCCCACAAAGGCCGCTGTCCCCACCCGGGTGTGCAGAAGGGTCCCTGTCCTGTTACTGCTGGGGAGGCAGCCCCCAGGGCCACCGGCTTGGCTGGATGCAGGGGAAGGGCCTTTGGGTGCAGAGCTGGCTAGACAGAAGCTGCACCCCAGCTGTAGTCTCTGGGACCACACCTGCCTGGGGCAGCCCAGCAGCAGCAGCCACACAGCACACTGGAACAAGAACATACACCTGCCCACAGTGGGCCACGGGGCCTGAGCCCAGGCCAAGTGGCCCCAGTGTTCCTGCAGCTGCACACTTCTGCTGAGGTTCGTGGGAGCAAGGGCTCAGTGCATACTGGACTGCCATCGTGCCCCTGGCTTCGACCCTCCCTTGCTATGCTGCCTTGCCGCACCCAAGCCACTGCGGGGAATGGTGGGACGCAGCTGGCTGCGGCCAGTAGGGAGGGCTGACCTGCCTGCCAGCAGCACCGAGACCCAGAGGCGCAGGCGGAGCTCCGGTGGGTGAGGTTTCGTGTCTTCCTCTGGGTCTGCGGTCCCCAGTGCCCGGGCTGCGGACCGGCACTGGTCCATGCCTGTCACGGACTGGGCCGCAGAGCTCTGCTGCTGCCCGCTCGCCCTCACCCCCGTCCGTGGAAAAATTGTCTTCCATGAAACTGCTCTCTGGTGCCAAAAAGGTTGGGGACCACTGCCCTAGGTGACCCAATTTTGATAATAATTTGTGAAGCTGGGAATTTATGTTTTAGGCATTTTTATGTAAATGTTATATATTTCCCACTAATAAAAAGTTTAAAAGGAAAAACCCATGGGAAAATGTGTGGTGATACATGTCCCATAAAGCTCTTCACGGCTTTGTTTGCAGTGGCGAGAACGAGTGTCGCCGGGCGCGGGCATATCGGCGCAGATCACAGCGCAGCCATAACCTGGACAAGCACCAGACATTCCAGAAGCACTGAGTATGGAACACGCGTCCCGACACACTGTGCAGTAAGAAAAGCAGGCTGTAGGGGGATGTGTTTAGCATGATCTCTATTTGTGAAAACAGACGTGACTCTTTATGTGTTCTGTGCATGGAGACACGTGGACGTTGGCACGCCGGCTCCATGTCGCATGACTGCAGACTCTGGGTGTGGGATCAGGGGAAGTTTCACTGGACTGTGTTTTCCTTGCTGCTTCACGTTCTCTGAGACAAACCGGTTGCCACGGAGACCCTGCTGTTGTCAAGGTGCTGATTGGCCAGCACGCAGGATGTGGGGGTACTTCCTCGGATCCCCCAGTGGGCAGCCCTCGCCGGCACTGCAGAGCACAGCAGCATGGACGGAGCCAGGGCTGACGTGTGGGCCCGCACCTTTGCCCAGCTGATGGCCGAGACGAAGCCCCAGGACGTCTGGGCTCTGCTCCCCCAGGACAGCCTGGTTGCAGGGCGCCTGGACAGCGGTGGTCTCCAGTACCGGCTAAAGGGGCTCTCCAGGTGTGGCTGAGGCCCGGGGGGCCTGGGAGAGGGAGGGGCTCAAGGTGCTTCTCTGCCGGCCCTCAGGTGGTCCCGGAGGGCCTGGCTGGGTTGGCTGGGAGTGGAGGGCTGTCGGCCAACTGGAGCACCTGTCTGGCTGGTCTCGTCCCCCAAGTGGGTGGGTGGGTGGTTCCAGGCGCTCAGCACCGTGGAGCGAGCCCCTGCCTCGCAGTGCTGGCCACATGGCTGCCAAAGCCGGGGCCCTGAGGGGTGACCTGGCAGTGCCCATGGAGGAATTGGTTTCACTCGCTCCGGCTCTGCTGGCCAGCACTGTCCTCGGACACAGCTCATCTCCTGTTTCCATGGCACTGCCACGGCTTCACGACTGTCAGCACTGAGGGGTGGGCGCTGACTTTGCAGGTGCCGTGGGCACTGTGTGGCCGTGTGCTGCGGACGGGCCTGACAGGGCGGCCAGGCGGTGGCCCTGCCTCAAGCAGAGGCTGAGGGGTGAGGGGCAGGGCACGCGGCCTGAGAGATGGGGCGCTCTCCACAGCCTGGGCTGCAAGGTGGGGGCCCTGGGTGGGAGCTCCGAGGTGGCCGTGGGTCACTAGTGAGCCTCACAGCCATTGTCATGACAACAGCCACAGGCTGCCGTACCCAAGCAGGCCTCCCTACCGGGAGGGGATATGAAAGCTCCAAGGGCCTTGCAGAACCCTTGGGGTGCTGGCCCTCAGGGTGCTGGCCCTCAGGGTGCTGGCCCTCAGGGTGCTGGCCTCGGTCACTCTGTGAGGACATCTCAGGCAGAGGGGAGTTGTTCTGCCCTCTGACATGACGCCACAGCTCCCCAGTGCCCGGAGCCCCTGGGGCCAGGCGTGTGGGGGAACCCCAGCTCCTTCGGGTGCCGGGAAAGAAATAACCTACAGTGGGGTCTGTGAAGCGCCCGGGAGCAGCGTGCTCTGAACGGCTGGCTGAGGCGTCGCGGCGGTGCTCAGTTTCAGGTGGAGGGGATGGAGCTCGGGGCACAGGCCATGAGGGGGGCCTGCACCCCAGCGAGCAGCCACCAGCGCCAGGCGGCTTTAACGTGCTTGTCAATCACATTTAAAGAAAGTTAGAGGTTCGGTTCCTCGGGCGTGATCCCTGTCCACGTGCTCTGTGGCCACCATGGCCGGAGGCTGCCCAGTGGGTTGTGCGGATGTAGAACACTCCGTCATCTGAAAAGTTCCACCAGACGGTGCTGAAGCAAAGTCTCACTAAGCTTGTAGCTGTGCGTGTGCCCAGCAAGTGGTCGCCCCTCTGGTGACCCATGTTGATGGGTCACCCCCATCCTCAGCGCTCTCCCCAGGTCTCCCCACCCTCGATGCACGCATGGTGTCCCGGTGTCTCTATTTCCGCTTCAGCTGACAGGTGATGGCGGTGTCACCTCTTCCTCATTGGGATGGGGACCCGCCAGGGCTCATCTTGCAGCACCCCACTGGCTGAGCCCTCGCAGACGCTTGCCCTCCTCGTCCAGAGCGCTGTGCACAGGGCTGCCTCTGACACTTGTCAAGCCCCAAGTGACAAACAGCAGGAAAGCCACAGAAAGCAGCAAGCAGCTCATACCTTGCAGAAGTTGGGCTGGAGTGAGTTTTGGTGGCAAATTGGTGGGATGGTGTTTGCTTTTCATCTTTCAGATCATGGGGCTGCAGGCAAAGAGGTGTGGACCTGCTCTCTGTCCTTGTGTGCTCGAAGGGCCTGGGGGTGTTTGGGCCGCGTGCACAGGCAGGAGGAGGCTGCTGCAGCCACAGTCTTGGCCAGCTGGCTGGTGGCTGAGGTTTGAGGTTTTGGATTTGAGTGTGGGCTGTGGGGTGGGTAAGAGGGCCTAGGTGTGTGCCCCTCACCGGCGTCTCTCTCCCGTGCAGACTCCAGTGCAGCCGCTGCTTGTGGGCCTGGTCCTCAGCCCACGTGCACATCCTCTTCCACCTGTGGTGGGACAGGGACCGTCGCCGGGGGCTGGTGAAGATGCGGGTCTGGGGCCAGCGGTGCCGGCTGTGCCCCCCGCCCTGTAGCGACTGCCACGTGAGCCCTCTCAACGTCCACATCTTCGTCAGCAGGCTGGTCCTGCACATCCTGCAGAAATGCTACGGGGACGGCCTCAGCCCCGACCAGTGCCCCGAGATGTGCTTCGGGGACCGCTGTGAGGCCTGCGACCTGGGGGTCTGCTTCCTCCAGAAGGCCCCAGACCCTGCCTGGGGGCCGGTGGCCAGGAGCCCCGTCGCTGCTGAGGGCAGGCATGCCGCGAACGACAGTCGCTTCCCCGTTGCCGCCTTGGGCAGCAGCGGCTCCGTCTCCAGGGGCACACCACTGCTCGCCCCCAGCAGTGGCCCCATGGCCGAGTGCACCGGGGGCCTCGTCACCATCTCCCTCTCTGTGTGTGAGTTCGTCGAGAGCCCCCTCTCTGACAGCCTCGACTTCCTCAGCAAGGGCTACGGCATTGTCACTGTCCCCTTCTCCCTTGTGGACATGGACATGGACGAGGGGCCGGTCGCCCACAGCTGTGCCTCCCCTGGGGGCAGCTCCCTCCCCACAACTGGCAGTGGGGGGCCGGGTGTCCTTGGCAAGGGCTCCATCTGTCTGTCTGGGAGTTCCACAGCCGCGCCCGAGGGCAAAGGCATCGCGGTAGATGTCAGAGACCCCATCTTCCAGGCCAGAGGCCTCCTCAGCGAAGTCAAGACGACCTTCCAGCTTGGAGGCTTCCTTTTCAAAGGCGGGGGCGCCTCCTCCGGCCCCGTTGGTGTGGCCAGAGGCCAGGGCCCTGTCTCCTGCAGCCACGGCCTCGGGGTCTTGTGGACAGGCCCGCCGACAGGGTCCTACATCGTTGGCCTCGGGCCTGACGGGGAGGGCTCCCTCACCTTCCCCCTGTCCTTCGCCAGGGCCATCGGGGACAAGGACACCTACACCTGCTGCACGGAGGGTGAAGGGCAGGAGGGTGGCCGCCAGGGCCCTGCCAGTGGAGGAAACACCACCCCCCTGGAGACCGATGTGGACGGCCCCACAGCCAGTGAGGAGCACTCAGTCACATTTCCCTTCGCCTTTACTGAGGACGCAGGTGCCTTCACTGGTGTTGCCCAAGGCAATGGGAAAGAGGGTGGTCACCAGAGCCTCGTGGCTGCCAGTCACGACCCCTGTCCAGAGACCAACGCTGGTGGCCTCACTTCCGAGGATAAGGGCTCCCTGGCCTCCTCTTCCTTTCCTGACGACATCAAAGGCAGAGACTCTTTCACTGACGTCACCAAAGGCAGAGAGAAGGAAGATGGCAGCCAGGGCCCCGTCTGCATCAGTGAGGGCTCCATCACCATCCCGTTCTCAGTCCTGGACATAATTCGCAAGGGACCCGGCCACATCGCCCACAGCCCCCAAAACAATGGCTTGGTCACCTACGGCTATTACAGGAAGAGATGGCTGAGGTCCAGGCTCGGCAAGTCCAGCCGTGGCAGCCGCAGAGAGGCAGACCTCTGCTCCGGCCGCGCCTGCCGGAGGCCACGTGCCGAACCCTACGAAGACGTGTGGATCTGGGTTTCCATGACCGTCTGCATCTTCTGGCTGCTGTGCATGTGCAGACTGAACCCTGGCATCTTCCCCGAGCAAGTGTGACGCCTCCGGCTGGCGTCTGCCCTCTGCCTCCCCAGCAGGTGCCGCTGTGCAAAGCCACCTCTTAGAGCACCCACCCCGCCAGCAAGCCCCAGCCCCAGCCCCCTCCTCCCACCTCTTGCCTTATGGTGGTTTTGTGGGTGTTTGTTGTGAGTGTTCTTTGAGGTGCACATGTGTGTTCCAAGAGCTTTTCTGTGTGTGTGTTTAACCCCAATAAAACAAAACAGAACCAAGCACGTAGCTTTCCATCTAAGAGGACTGAAGCCACCAACTGAGGTGGGAGGTGCGTCATGGGCTCATTTTCCCTGTCTCTGGTGCATCTTCCCCTCAGTCCCTGCAGGGACCCCCTCCCACGCCCAGCAGTTCTTTCCCCCAAGAGAGCTTCCCCTTGGGGAGTTCTGCATTCCTGGTCGCGTGTATGTCCTGTGACAGGACAGGATGCTCTGGCTGGCAGGTGCAAGTTAACATCCTTTCTGTGTTGACCCATGGGGTTATCCGGGACAGGCCACCTGCCCTGCTCTGGGAATGATTAATGTCCCCAGCTGAGATGTGGTTGGGAAGCCTTTCTCCACTCCCTCCAGCTTTCTGGGAGGGAGCCACAGGAGGGCCCAGAGACATCTGGGTTTCAGAAATGCCATCAGGTGCAGAGGACACATTTATAAGAGCCCAGTATCCATCTGCAAGGAGCAGGGGGCTGTTGGGAAACATGCTGTCCCAGCCAGGCAGAGGCCTGACCACGGCCACTGTCCTGCCACCCTGTCCCTTCTCTCCTGGGCAGGGCCAGCCCGGAAGCTCAGACCCTGGGTCTGAGATGTGGGTGCCTTGAGGTCTGCTGAGGGACTTGAGAAGCCTCACTCTGCAGAGGGAAACCTTTGTCCAGGGCCCTTTGGCGATAGAAGAGAAGATTCTACCTGTTGGGCTGACCTGGACTGCACAGGTGTGTGTGCTGAGTCACAGCGGGGAGGGGGTGCTCCTGCACTTGTGTGGCTGGCTCAGATGGACATGCCACACCAGCCCAACGTGGCACACCCCGCTCACGGGGCACTGAGGGAGACACCAGGCTGCATCGCTCACCAGGCTGGGCTGGGCGTGCACCGGGCAGACAGGCTGGAGACGGTCCCCAGGAAAGCCTAAGTCCCTGCCCTCTCGCCAGCCAATGCGGTGTGGCAGGAGCTGCCCTCATCCTGGGGCAGGTTTGAGAATCTGCCCTGAGCCTCGGACCTAGCGGGGTGGGGGCTCGGACCTGCTCTGCGCCACCTCAGGCAGGCAGCAGCGCACCCATCTGCACCTGGCCAGGCACTGGGGTGGGGGCCTGGCCGTGGCTGGGCCTGGAAGTAGCACCTGATGCCCTGCAGGGGCCAC